GACCTCAACCTCAAGCATTGGGACCCTTGACCATGACCTGGCTCACGCGGTGCGAGCTTGTGTGGCTCAGAGCTTTTGTTTGAGCTTTTGTAAGTGGGAATGGTATCTAGAATATAACAAGAACCGAAAATGTCTTGATATCCTTGGGTTCATGACACGTCGATCTTCAAGCCTTTCGCGTCGACTGCCTCCCATGGGAAACCTCCCCAAATCGTAAATGAATGAAGTTTAAGTTCGCAAGCACTTTCCAAAAATGCCAGCACAGAAAAAGGTTGCTGCAGCCACAAAGTCATGAAGAGACCATGAATTCTTTCAAAGTCCCCCAAGAAAGGACATCGGTTCCTGCTTGAAACCCACATGCCTGCCAGTGGGTCAAAGACGCTGGCTGGCTCGGGCTCCAGAGTCTCCACTGTGGACATGGCCAGAAACAGCCCTTAAAAGTGTTCAGAAAACCGAAATCCTTGAACAGCTGTGATTCTTGTGAAGCATCGGTTTTTTTTTTCGGGGGCTCTTTAGGCTGGCTTTCAAAGCTTGTCCGCAATCTTTTACGGTGGAACAGGCTTGCATATAGCCAAACGTAGGGGCTCTGCAAGCCTCTTTCCGATGCTGAATGGGTCTTGGACTAGGGCATGGATTCAAACCATTTTTTTGAAAACCACTGAAGGGCTGCCTAGGTGCATACGAACCTACACCCCTTTATGGGTTTCTGGAGGGCCTAGAGCGCTGTGTAAGCATCATTTGGCCACGACTTGTTTGTCTCTGCCTACACCGTGTATCAAGCTCACGGATATCAAGCGGAATGCTCACAAAGTCTTCGGCAATCTAAGGCAAAGCATCAACCCATGGAGCGAACAGTGAGAGACACAAATTGACTCGATGTCGCTGAAGATACCCAAATGCAGCACGTGATGGCACTTGCAGAAGCTCCATTTTCCCCGTCGCATCCAGCGAGACGAAACTAAGACTGGTGCACATGTGCGTAATCCTCAAAAAGCTGATGCACATCTGAAGCTGGAAGTTAGCGAGAACGCAACCTACAGGGCCTCAAATACCATGCTCCATCACATGCTCAGATACCACTGGCTGCCATTGGCCCGAAGTATGTACTTCATCACTAGAACAGTCGACATGCTTGGCAGTCCAACTGGTCAGTCAAAACTCTATGGCTGCTTATCGCCCGTACTCCTCTCCTAGCCTAAACAACTGCAGAACTACAATACATCGACAGCACAGCAGAAGCTTTTCCAGAGCTGTTCTGTCTTTTCATTGCTGCGCAGGTGCACCTTCTCAGCCAAGCTGCTTTGCAAGCTTGGAAATCGATCTGCTTGCCGAGCAGGCCGCTGGCTACCATAGTGGTCTGAAGATGTGGCATCGGTACTGTAGTTACGGTAGTCTTGGAGTTCTAGCACAAAGCATTCAGACCTCACGTGTCTGCAAACAAAGCATCGCGGCTTTCGCCAGTAAACATCTGATTCCCACAGGGTGCTGCAATGAGCAGTGTGAAGCTCCTACGGCGTCCTTCTCGTGTAATTAAAGGTTGTGGTGCCTGCGTTCATGCTGCAAAAGAACCTGACGTTGCTCCGGGATCTTCTCTAGAGTTGTAGATTTCTGAGGCAAGGCTTCAGGCATTGCAGGCACACACAAACTCAGACTGCGCCCTTGAGGTAATTCGTTGAGCATGTCCTACTTGCGGAGTCTTCGTTTTCAGGCAGGACTTGATTTCGGCAGCAGCATCAGGACTCAGACGATGAAGCGGCCTATTGAGCGAGGCCTGCGAATTCTGCCAGATGGTTCAGATCACCCAACTCCTTCAATCGAAGCTCCAAGATGTTGTCCCTGCACGAAATTCCCTCGCTTCTAGGACACGTGCGAACCTCTTGAGGCCAAAAGTTGCATGGAAATCGCCTGGACATGCCTGAGCGCTGGAAAGAAGGAATGTCAGGACAAGCTGAAGTTGTAGGATCAACCAACGGCAGTGCCACGTCTAATTTCGAGAGAGGCAGCCCAGCATGTGCGTGGTCGAGATTTGCAGGCTTACAGGAGCTGCACTAACAGTCTGTATTTCAGGGACCAGAAATTGAGAACCAGGCTTGAGCACCGCGAGGCTAGGAAGGCCCTGTCTTAAAACCCAAGCCCACGCAAAGGAACTCACTTGTGACGTGTGTAAGCCGGTGCACCCAACGAGTTCAGTGCTTTCAAGACACAGCGCAGGAATGAAAAAAACAGAGCTTGACGACGCAGCGGTCGAAGGCTGCTGGGAACCAAGAAAACGAATGCAGTTTGAGGGAAGGGTTGCCTGCGACCTTTTCCCTCTAAACCATCCGCAGATCAGATTCCTTCATGACTTTCCCATACTGGCACTGCCTCTCCACTGCAGGCCAGCGGACAGCACGTGCAATGCTCTTGCGTTATCTTTCGCGCATGAGGCCCGGAAGCATGCACACCGGATGGATGGCTGCTTGTCAATCTCATCATGGGCAAAACTGAATCTATGAGACTCTGAAGTGCATTCTTGAACAGTCAACTCGTTTTGGAGATCTGGATTCCCGTATGATTCACACTGGAGGGTATAAAGTCTGGGTAGATCCCCCATTAGGATTTACCTGGATAGCTTTGCAAAGCAATCTCACAACCGCGTGCCCCCGGTAAAGTCCGTGCTCCAGGGTCTCATGTCATATCTCGAACATTTACCGTATGACGGAGACTTGCAGTAGGTGGCAATCACACGGCGCATGCCCTTGCGTAATTGCCCTCAGATGATGGCCCAGCACACTTACGGCAACTTGCTTCTGCCTTCAGGGCCTTCCTTGGCTTGCCTGCGAAACCAATGAAGTCAGCACACTCATCACGCAAGCAATGCAGCTCCCAAACCCTCTTGCTTATTGACGATCTGCCACATTGACATGACTCCGTCACAGGTGAAAAGGCTCTGAACTCATATTATCGGCTGGTCTACAGGGGCACGCAGCAGCATCTGGCAAACTGCACGCATACCTGCGTGGATCTTGAGACAGGCTAGCATCAGCAACATCAGCTGGATGGTACCCAAACTACGTATATCACGAAGCTAACCACCCTAGCTGTATTTGGGCAGCTGTGGTACGAGGGAAAGTGCCCGCCATAAGTAGGGCTTACTGCTCACGCGCCAATTAGGCCTCAACGTATCTTTGCGTCCAAAGTTATCCGTTGGGCAACTTCTTTCTGGACGGCCCCCTCTGAGATGCACATGCTGTAGTCATTGGGGTGTTAATGCTGGTCTGCAGAATCGCTGGCAGGCCGCTCCTTGCCATGGGATACTGGAGCACTTGGTTGCTGTCCGGCTGCCAATCAGATGTGTGCTTCCTGCATTTTCCTGCTCCTTCTCCTGTCTCGCTAACATGAAATGAACCTACTGGTTAACAGCCGTGCTTGCTAACCCACCCCTTAGTGCACACGCGTCCCTGTAAACCAGCCGCACATGACACTTTCGAAAATTATGGGCACCGTCTTGGCCTTCAAAAGCAAACCATACCACTCGATCCTGCTTGAGACTCAGACTGCTTGTGGAGGAAGTCCTGAATTGACCGCAACTGATAGTAATCTTGCTGCGATGCCAAGCACAGGTGAGGGGCCTTAGATTTTGTAAGGTGTGCCAGGACTTTGTCCTGCGATCCCGCCGTGGCGGCTTGCGCACCATGTCCCTTTGGGACTGGCCGTGAGAAAAATCTCCAGCAGGCAGTAGCTGACAAAATCGCTGCCCCCAACTGAGCTAGACACGCTTCATATCTAGCCTCATGTCGGGAACTTTTCAAGAGCTATGAATGGGTCTCGATTTTGACAACTGCCCAAGTAGCTCTCTAGTGGCACAGGCCCCTAGATTGTCACTTCTGGAGCCTCAGCACAGGCCACGATTTGGCTTGTGGTTCACTCACTTTTGACTCTAAGGGTGAGTGAGGGGTCTGCTTGCTCATGAAGCCTTCATCCATATTTCAAGTACAAAAATTCGGATCCCCATTATGGTCATCAGCGCTTGGGGGACAAAAATAACCGACATTACCTTAGAAGCCCAGCAGCAGCCCGGCTTTTGCACCCGAGAGCTCTGCAGTTGAAATCACTCCGTCGCCGTCCTGTGCTGTTGCAAGTGAATGAGACGCGCATAATTCATTAGTAAGGCTGTCCTAGGACCTTGCGTGAACAAGCCCTGCACAACTCCATCAGGATGCAGGGCAGTTTTAACCTAGAGCTACAACCGAAACCGCCACGCCCACATGCCGCGCGTACATCGCAAGTCACAAGTATGACTTGCACAAAACGACCCTCATATAATGTTGGCAGCTTCCCCGCCACACCCTGCGCAACCTGAGCCGTGACTTTCGGGGGGATATCTGCTTTCATGAATATTCAGGGTTTTGCGGCTGAGGTTAGGGGTGACAGGCTGAATGAGTCACCTTGGACTGCTTAAGCCCACATTAGCCCAGTCCTTGTCTGCTATCTGCATTATTTCGTCCTTTGCCTTCGCTGCTTCATCACCATGGACGTTCATCTCCGTTAGGCTCCTCAGCTGGCGATATCAACCTCTAGGACCTGATGGGCGGAATCTCCTTTCCAAAGATAACTCTCATAACAATCTTGACTTCCAGCGTGCTGAACCTATGAAGGGGCAAGCGCCATCCCTTCGGAAGACCTCATGCAATTCCAGCAGCCATCCCGATTCAAAACCTACTTCGCCCCCAAAGCGCACATTGAACTTCTCAGCTGGCTTGGCCAGAGGTAGGGAATGAGTTGCCCGAGGTTTGATTGTGGCGAGATCCATGCACAACACCACGCCAAGAGACGCAGCCAGCTCTGTTTTAGTAACGGTTCCGTCGCCGTCCTGCGCACTCTGCTTGCTGTGACTATTCTGAGCCATGTGCTCTCCGTCCCATGAGCATGTGAAAACACCCTTGAAGCAAACGTCATGCCCTCTGTGAAAGCTTGTTCGAAGCATGCGCAACCCTGTGTTACCCCGCAGAGAAAGCTACTCAACTCGGTCCTTGTCTAGCTCCTTGAAGCTCTTCTCTTGCAGCAATCGCTTGGCAATGTCTGAATACGTGAGAGCCAGCAAACTTCGCGTCAACGACTTTGGCTCCTATTAGCAGTCAGAGGAAACCTTGTTGCCGCTTAGCCCGCCCGCGACTGATCTACGACGTGACTTGAGCAGCTTTCTAAAGTGGAGTCCGCTTACAGCCTTGTTGTAAGAGCTCAGAAAAGAAATCATTGCTTTCAAGATCAATCAAATCTGCCTCTAAAAATCTAGTTTAATCCCTACATCGACATGGACAATTCCGTGCATCCCGGCTTCCATCGGAATAGGCTGCGCAGGGCCAGTGGCGCCTGCAGCTGGGGCCACCTGACTTCATAAACAAAAGTTCGAAGACACTTGTCCGTCCCTTCTGTGGGATTGTACACTACACGGCTGGGTAGTTTTCTAAAGATGTTTACGGCTTTGCCCAATTGGGAGCTCTTTCGCAGTAGCTTAGGGTTGGAAGCCATTGTTTTGAGGCTCGGACTTTCTGGACCGCCGGCACAAATGAAACAACCAGCCACCATGTACTGCTGACACAACACGGCTAGTCATTAAGAAGATGCCTTAGGCACGGGTGGCACTCAAGGCCCAGGAAACAAAGCAAAGACTCGGTCTCATTGACCCAGCTAGCAGGCACGACTGTGATTTGCACCCAAATATGATAATGCCGCCATATGTTGCAGACGAGGCGAGGAATGTCATAGACATGGCTGTCATACGCGTTTGAAACCATTGTTCAGCATAGCTTCGTGGACTTCAGTTTGGAGGCAGCTAACTATTTCTCATGGTTCTGGAAAATCCACTGAGCCTGAAATCATGTCCACATGTCCACACACGCCCTAAAAGCCCTGAGCGCATGTACACATGCGTGGATGATACCCGGAAAGTGCCTACACCCCCCACCTCGGCCTTGGCCTGAAGCAGCTCCTCCTGAGTCACACTGCATTCTTAGGGGGATCAGCATCCTGGACCTCTGAAACAGGGATACAAAAACCTCCTGCAAGTAAAGTCTGACCTTGGCCTAAATGCTACGCCTCTTCTTTGCACTTGTGAATCCCCTGCGGGGTCGCGAAAAGAGCCATAAACATAAGCAGACTGCATGGATACTTTTTTTTTGTCAGGTGCTCCGGAGCCCTGCAAGCGTTATGTCCGCTCGGCATGATGCGGGAGTGGCATGGGATTCTACGGCTTCGAGCATGCAAGGTAAACAGGTTGCTGAAGGTCGTTGGCACGTTCCGTGCGTCGCTCCATTTTGCGTCTTCGGCCTTCAGAACCGAACTCTTAACGTAACGAGTCATGGCTGAGTAACACACAAACACATGCACCGATCGTCTGTTAGAATCTCTTCGCTCATCTGTGATGCCGAATGCCAAGATAGATTAAGGCCTGCACCAACGCCAACTTGCTGGGCTGTATTCTTCAGACGAAGCTGTAACCCCATGTAACCCCTCAACCGGCAGTGGGTCCAAGTCCTGAGAAATGGTGCCATCGCCATCTTTGTCGGCTTGCTGCATTAGTTCGGCCGTGGCCTGACCAACGCAAGTCCCGAGCTTTGTGACGTTGCAGCTTCGTGTCCTCCCCACTCTTCCTTCCAGAGTTGCTCTATGACAGAACCTTTCTGCATCAGGGCCTCTTCACTGCCTAGATCCAGATCGGAACTCTCAACCCACGACTCCGTCAAACCTTGGCGGGGCTGTGCCTGCGTGGCCTCCTGCCTATTCACGGACATGCTGGCCAGCGCCACAGACACCTTCATGAATTATCTCTTCTTGATTGGGGGCACGTTGCTGGTTATAAAAAGGCTGGTTTGGTCTTGGCTTCGTACTGAGCTGGTTAGGGCAGGTGGATTGCATGGTCCCAAAATTCTGCTGAGCAAGGATCCGTCACTTAAACCTGCTGCAAGATGGCAGCTGCAGGCACACATTTGCAGAGGCCTCTGGTAGCAAGCTCAAGCGGCCATGCCCACAACTACAACAAAGTCGGACCGAAGCATTCTCTCAGCTGGCCAAAGCCCGCGCCTCCTGCTCGGTGACCCGACCATCTCCGTCCTGAGCATCAGTACGTATGCGCATGGGACCTTATCGCAACCCATGCCATAGCAAGTTGAGAAGAGTGTCTTTAGGTACAGTAGAACATCAGTTCAGCACACCGAAGCCATCATTTCAAGCTGTAAGCACTTTCCACCCTGCCTTGTCTAGCTCTTGGAAGCTCTTCTCCTGCAGGAGCCTCTTCGAGACATCGGAGTAGGTGCCGCTCAGGATGCTCCGAACAAGCACCTTCTTTTCAGCAGCCTGCGCTTGCTGCGCTTGAGCAGGCGAGTACGCCTGCGCTTGCTTCACATCAGCGACATCTGCCCTGGCGCTTCGGAACTCCTCCTGTGAGATGACGCCGTCGCCATCCTTGTCCACATGCTGCAAGATCTCTCGCTTCGCTTGCTCAGCTTCCTGGCCATCAACCTTCATGTCGGCCAGTGCGGTGGTGATCTCATTCTGCGAGACCACGCCATCACCATCAGCATCCAAGTCCTTGAAGTCCTTTTTCTCCATGAGTTTCTTGGCAGCACCGTGCATTGCGGAGAAAAGGGCAGAGCGCACGACCGACCTGTGCTCAGCTGCGTCCTTGATGCTGACCCCTTGGGCAGTTGGAGCGGCCGCCGGAGCAGCTGCACGTGGCCGCTCCGTTGCCTCAGCAATCAGAGATAGCACCAATACGCTGGAGAATTTTCTAGATGACTACAGGCGGCAGAACCACGAAACCTGTTGATTCCATGTTCCTACCGACTGCGCACACTAGAGCCGTAGACTGCTGGATGTTGTTTCCGCACACCTCGCGCGAACAAATTTAGATCCAGCGCCTCACAAGCCCACGCAAGACTTTGAAGTTAGGTGTAACCTTTTGGGGATTGGACTGAGAAAATCACATCCCAAACTTTGCAATATAGAGTCGATCTGTTACCTTATACTCATCATCCCGTCAGATTATAACTATAATGTGAGCTAGTAAAGTCCAATCGCATTATCTTCTGAGGGTGTCATTTCAGCTTTAGGATTTGTCTGTTCCCGCCGCAGGGTACTTTCCTCAGCTGGGGCTGTCGAGAGACCTTCCCCGCATTTCGAGAAGTTTTTTTGGAAATCACTTCTCCGCATATGCCAGGATTTATGACATTGTCTGAAACTTCACCGTATACATCAGTATGTCGTATACACTGTTCTCAAGAGCAAGCAGACGGCACCATGGCCAATTCTAAAAGCTGTAAAACAGCAGACCCACCAACTCAGACTCTGCACCTGCTCTGGCGGCACAGGGGCTGAGAAGAGCAAGCCCTTTGCCCTTGCAGCAGCAAACTCCTCCAGGCTTTTGAATACGCATGGCAACGTGTTTGATCTTGTCTTCAAATATGCAATAGCAACGTGGCTAGCGTACATCCTTGCTCGAACATTGTAAAGTCTAGGAAAAGTACAGCCGCCGCTTAGCACTGAACAGGCTTCCGGGGCGACGCAGGAAAGGCACTCCACTCCACGGGTGCGCGGCCTGCTTCTGATTGGTCTCTTATTAAGATGTGCTTGGGCCCCAGTGGTACCAGATAACATGTGGAAACTTATTGCTGAGCATCGCGGCATCTAGACATGAAGGCAAAGGAACCTTCATGCTCAAACCAAGAACCTGAAGCTTAGCTTCGGCTGCAACTCGATGGAACCCAAAGCGGGAGACAAAACGTTTGAAGGCCCTGGCTTTGCAGTTTTGCCTTTGTAGTTCAAGACTGTTTCCCAGCGCTAGCTGCCCTCCTGCCGTCTGGCACACCGCCCTGGAGCCAGCATCGCGAGCTGCCAGGTACCCTCTCTTCTCCAGGTACCCGGGAAACCGCCCCAAACCCGACATCATGCGCGTCTGTGCTCATGCAACCTCGGATGCCACCGAAGACGCAGATGCGTCCTTGGCATAGGCATCACCTGCCCGTATGTTCATTGAAAGACCCAGCATCATGAGCATCAGCTGCCCCTGCATGTGGTAAGCAACCCGTTCAGACCCAGCATCACCAGCATCAGCTTGTCCTCTGTTTGTTAAGCAGCCCGTGCAGACCAAGCATCATGAGCATCCGCTGCACCTGTGTTTCTTAAGCAGCCCGCGCAGATCCAGCATCAGGGGCATCAGCAGCTGCCCCCGTGCTTCTTTAGCAGCATTCGCAGATCCAGCATCATGAGCATCAGCTGTTCCCGTGCTTCTTAAGCATGCGCACAGCATCATGAGCATCAGTTGCCCGTGTGCTCGTTAACCCAGCATCATGAGCATCAGCCGGTCCTCTGTTTGTTAAGCCGCCTGCGCAGAACCCAGCATCGTGAGGCTGCCCGTGCGGTCGTTAAGCAGCCAGTTCAGACCCATCACCATCACCATCATCATCTTCATCATCATCATCATGTCATCATCAGCTGCTCCTCTGTTTGGTAGGCAGTTTGCCCAGTCCCAGCATCCTGCACATCAGCTGCCCATGTGCAGCATCATGAACATCAGCTGCTCCTGTGTTTGTTATGCCAGCAGCCTGTGCAGACCCAGCATGATGTGTTATTAGGCGGGCTCAAGCAGCCCGCGCAGGCCCAGCATCATCGCTCAGAATCACGAGCATCAGCTATCATCAGCTGCTCCTCTGTTTGTTACGCAGCCGAGCAGAACCAGCATCATGAGCATCAGCTGAGCGTGTGTTTGCCCGTGCAGACCCAGCATTGTGAGCAGCTGGCCTTTTGCTTTTTCAGAAGCGGAGATTGACCAGCATCGTAAGCTTCAGCTGTCTGATTGTTCTCATGCCAGCAGCTCCACCCTCCAGTCCACGCTCCAGGCTCCAGCGTCGGAAGTCTTGGCATCTGACCCTTGTTCTGGAGAATAACGTGTGAAGGTTTCTGGACCCTTGGGTTTCAGCTTCAAACTGCCCAGGCCTCTCTGGAGATGAACCCATCCTTGTCGGTATCGATATCCTCGAAGGTCACCGGTATCGAGGGTCCGCTCCTAGGCAACTTTGCTAACGTTCCTCGCTTTGCACCTGGATGGCCTACAAGTTTCCAGGCTGCGGAGACGTTGCAGATTCAAGAAGTCTAAGATCAAGCTGCATTTCGGCGTCAGGCTGAGCTGACTGGGTGAAGCCCCAAGCTCTCAATTCAACAGGGCTGGCGGGTGGCTTTGGAATCCTTGAGTCACAGGGAGCCTGCTAGCATGTTCTAAGCCATGATTCCTTCAGCCGAAAGTTCTTTTCAACTCAAACGGTGTTGCAGAGTTCGAAGACATCATATTCTCCGCTTGTAATAGTTTGCCAGATGCATGGCGGTCAGCCTTGAGCATTCGCACTATGTAACAACTGCAGTGTTCAGCATGAAAGCTTGTACCCCTGCAACCCTACACAAGCAGCACGTCAACAACACGCTGCCTCCCAACTCTGAACCTTCCACTTAGTCACACTACACTTACGACCAGGAGCCAGGTTCAACAAGCCCTACAGTATACTATGCAGCTGGCAACTTTGAAGATTCCGCTCAAGCGCCGCTTTCCAAATCACTTCTGCAGCCAGAGCACGCCCCTGCAGTCTCTAAGCGGCCAGTCACTTTCGCGACCGCGCCTTTGCGACGAGGGTTCTGGTTTGAGGGCTGTTCGGCTACATTAGCTCAAAAACTATCTTGCTTCACTGGCTGCTTCAGTTCTGCTTGCAAGCTTTGATCTTGAGTCTCCTTGATGCATGAAGCCCTCCAACTCGGAGCCATGGGCTCAACACGGGCGTGGCGAGGCCAAAGGATTTGTTCGAGAACAACACTTCTGCTCAGGCTCAAGTTCAAGCCCTTAGGCCCTAGATACCTAGAAGCCTGCAACACAGGCATGCCATGGCCAAGAAGTGCAAGAAGACTGCTGGTTGTTACGTCTGCCGGGCTTCCCAATGACTGGGTAGCCAAGGACCTGGCTGGAGACGATGCTGGAAATCTTGGGCTCGAGACCTAGGCAACGCTTCTGAAGTTCCGATCATTGGCTACGACTGTAGGCCGCCATGTTTGGGGATTCTCCCCACAGCTGCAGGAGACCAAGGGCAAAACCTTGAGATTCTTGGAACGAGTCTCCCAGCTGGGCTGGAAACTTATCTCAAGTTGAAACCCTCAAACATCCTCAAACCCTCAAGCCAACTAACAGTCAACGATTAACCTTCAGAAAAGGTCAGACAGGGCATGAAGAAGTTTGAAAATCTCGTATATCCAGCATCAGGGGAATGCGCGCGAGTATTCGTTGATCCTGAAAACCAATCTGTGCCCCGAAACTGCTCCACACGCGCTTCTCCAGTAGCTCTGCAAGCTTCGTGAGACGCGCAGCCGCTGGCGCCGCTCCCTAGCATGGGAGGTGCATCTCGCTGCTACTCATCTTCTACTGATGCGCTTTGCCACAGGTAGGGAAATTTTGTTGTGGGCGCGATGCTTACTTCAACTAACTCCACAACAGCACGTCAGCCTGCAGAAATTCTGCTTGATCGGAGCTCACGGCAGCGCTTGGTCTCTTTCTGAAGGATTCTCCTTGTACACTTACTTGCTAGGAAGGTACAGTATATATACAGCTAAGTACTCGCGGGTCGCACAGCTCGCAGTGCGAGTCATCACTAGAACATGCAACTTGCTCGCGATCAATCCGCCGGAAGGCTTGCTTCCAATGGCTATCGGCTGAGCTCTTGGTCATAGCAAGAAGCATGCCGTGCCGCTACCAAAGCTACCAATGACACAATTCCAGCATATGTGCAGCTTCCTCTTTCAATCGCCAGTGGCCGCCTTCTGCCATCAGTGATGACCAAAAGATCTGGAACTGCCCAGAATTGCAGTGCAGAACCCGCCTGTGGCGGCTTCAGCTGAAGCTCCGCCTCTGCCACACGCTCGGCAAGCTGGCAGATGGAGGACCGCATCTGCTTGGCATCCTGGGCCGCGTGCTTTTGATGAGCCGGGGGGCTTCGCGGCCTCCCTGGGCAACCCAACCATGCTTTTCTAGAAAAATGAATGTCGTCCATGGGATCATGGGCAGCTTTCCCAAAACTTACCTTCACCAGTTCCATAATTCAGGACGCTGCTTTCTCAAGTCTTTGGGGTATGTAGCACTTGGCCACTGGTTAGCCGTACCAAGGCTGCTGAGCGCCATCTTCGGTCTTCTAAGCGTACTTCGAACACTTCGGGCAGAAGTACGAGCAACGGGATCAGGCTGGAACATCCATAGCGAATGATCTATAGCATATGCTGCACTACCGGGCTGTGGGCCTGGGACCTGCTGGCTTCGCATTAATCTCATGAAGCGGGCGTCTGCCAGCAGGACCTTGTTCACCTCAAACTCGAGCATCCGCCGGGCGGCAGCAATTTCCTGGAAACCGGGACCAGCCAAGTGCAGAAGCTTTCACAAAACATTTCGGCAGTTGAAGAGGGCTTCTCATCAAGGTTGGCACTCAATGCGCTTGGGGAAGTTAAAGTTTCCAAAGCCTGGAGAACCCCACATCTTTCAGCTTCAACCACTGCTAGCCACCCCCAGTCCCACTGGCCTCTGGCGCGACTTCCAAGTTTTCTGCCACGGCCAAGGCTTGACGCAGCCGGGGCTCGTCATGATCCTGAACGGAGCAGTCAAATCAGGGCCTGAGGCATGCCTAGTTCGCGTGCCCACCAAGCCTCCATTGCCTGCGCCAGGTCCAACCTTAGTATCGCACGACCCTTTCCTTGTGAGAACTTCGCAAGAATGAGGGATTTCAGCGCAAAAATCGTGGGGTCCAGATTCGAAGTCAGAGTCAGGGAGATATAGGCACCAGGCCGGAAGGGTGTCTACAATCAAGACACAGCTTTGAATACGACAAGTCCTTCCGAGAGGGACGCAATATGGTGGCATCCAAGCTCAGGAAACCTGACTCACCGTAGTCAAAGCGCTCTAGCAAGTGGTTCCGTGTGGGAGCTGCGGTCACCTGCAGGCGCCTAGTATACAAGTTCATGATCCTGTTACTGTTGAAGTTGCCATAGTGGCCCAGGAAAACGGAGGACTGTCTTCCGAGCTGAAGTGCAATCCTCAAGGCACCCTAATTACCCCAAAAATGCATGTGAGAGGCTGAGCATTTGCCCTGGCAGTCGACAAGCTCTCTGCGCCTTTGGCAGTTGGAGATGCTTCAACCTGTGCGAGACATGGCAGATTGGAGTCCAAAAAAGTGCCAAACAAACACGCATGCTCCGAAGTCTCTCCTTTTGCTTCGGTCAGTGCAGAAGTCTCTAAACCACGGGTGTGCGTGGCCATCGATTGCCCTGCTCAGCAACCAGACCAAAGCAAACCAACTGCCCGTCGACGGTTTGGGCACATGTGTGCGCACCACCAGATGCTACAGATGCCACGGGCCCCAAACCTGGAGGGATATCGCACTGTCCGTATTCATTCCAACCAAAACACACCAACTCTGCAGTGACCGTAATCGCACAAGTGTGCAGGCCTCCAACCGAAACAGATGCGACAGGCCCCAGATTGGCAGGAACGCTGCACTGGCTGTGTGCACTCCATCCAAAACACCTCAGCATCAGATCAACTGTCACGACGCAGGTGTGAAGACCTCCAGCAGAGACTGACACGACGCGGCCCAGATCTGCAGGAATGTCACACTGGCCCACGTCCTCACTCCCACCAAAGCACGCGAGGTGCCCATCTGATGTCACTGCACAAGTATGCTGCGCTCCAGCAGAGACACCAACAACCGCACCAAGGTCTGACGGCACGTCGCACTGTCCGTTCCCATTCCATCCGAAGCAAAGGAGCTTCCCACTTGGCTTCACCGCGCAGGTGTGCAGATCCCCCACAGCCACAGACACCACCCTGGCAAGGTCTGCAGGCACGCTGCACTGCCGATGATCGTTGGCTCCGAAACAGGCCATTTGCCTACCCTCGGTCACGGCACAGATATGTCCAGCACCTGTAGAAACAGACAGCACTGGGCCCAAGTCTAGAGGCACGTCCGACAGTGTGCCGCCTGCTTCATCCCAACAAGCCAGTACACCGTCACCAAGGTTGACGGCGCAGGTGCGAGATCCAGCTGCTGACAGGGCGAGTGCAGGCAACGCGCCTACGGCGCCTGCGGGAAGCGACTGCCATAAGCAAGCTATGCTGTGCCAAAGGCCTTGGTTGGCCAACAAAGGCCCCAAAGCTGGCCGCTGCCTGGGAGGAGGTTTGAACCGCCCGAGCCATGCTCGTGGCCTCTTTGAGAGGCCACGAAGTCTGCCGGAAGCCATTCTCAGCTCGGCTGACGCGCCCCCAGTTGATGTGAATCAAGCTGCAACTGACCGTGAAATTTTGGACATGTGGTTTTTATCGAATTACTTCACATTCATGGCTACAGGTGGCGATCTGAAGGTCAGCTTGCGACAGCGAGGCATAAGGCCTGTCGAAGCCTCGAACCATCCCTGCATGTCAGGAGCTCAATGAAGGTCCAAGGCCCTCCCCATCTCAACGTGGGTGGGTCAGCGATTAGGACCATTAAGACCCCTTAACCCTTACTGTAGCAACCTCCCAGAAACGCGGCTTACCTCGAAAACACCTGGAACTGACCCAAACGACTTTTCAACAAAGAACCTCCTTCGCACAAAGTGTCGCAACAAGAAGGCAGCAACCGTCGCACTACGAGTAGAGCAATTGCGTGGTTGAAGCGAGGCTCGTCCCCGGCAATGATCAGGCAATTATACAATTCCTACTGCATGTATCTCTCTTTCCTATGGCCAGACTCCAGCCGCTTGAGATCTGACATATCTTTCTGACCTGAAATGGCCACGCCGTCACATTCGCCCCTTGCCTTCACATCGGGGACGGTCAGCGTCGCTGCTGTATCTCGGCCGGTCACTGTGTAAACCAGCACAACAGTTGGAAAACTCTTCGTCATGACAAGGCTTGGTGTCCAAGACTTTGGGGAACATCATTTGGAGGAGCTTCGCACACCCTAGCGGCCCGAGGATGGCTTTACATGGTACCAGCAAGTCAACCTGCACATCTCATCCGACGGAATGCCGGTTGACCTCCGGGCAGTGAGCAAGAGTAATTGTGAGAAAAAATCCCGCATCGTCTCGACAAAGTTTCAGCGAGGTGTTTGTACATGTCGTGGCTAATGAGCACGAGTCTAAATGGTGGCATGATCTTTCCGGGGTCAGGATCGTACCTGGTTGATCAGCCCAACGACCCAAACAAAACTACCAATCCAGATTGTTCGCACCAGAAATTCGAGCAGATGGTCGGACAATTGCTTCCGATCCGAGTTACAACCTAGCAGCCCCTAGACGAAAGCCCATGGAGATTTTAAATGGTCATCGTAGCATGTGGGAGATGTAGTGGAGTCATTGGAACTTGGAACCTCTCCTGAAGCCCAAGGAGCTCAACAAAAAAACTGCTGGGCATCTCCGTTCCCCGAAACTTCCCCTGCAATCCTCCACAGCCTACTTGCGCTCCGGGGTGCAGCTTGCGAGTTGTCTGTCGCCCATTTTCCCGCAGCTTGCTTAGCAAGTCGCAATGAACTCAGAGTCTACGCAGGGGGCGAGTGCTGCCATGCAGTGTGGGGTCCTGAAGCTCTTTGAGGACAGGATGTCTACAATTCCAGAAGTCCTGCTGTTAACGCAGTGTGTGCAGGTAGTAGCTGCGGTTTGCTGTGAGCTTTAAAATAGCATGCAACTGCTTTCTTTGCACGCGGGCCTTCCGGTGCTTCCGAAAGAAGGCGAGAGTTCAGGAGTGGCATGTGAATGGGCAGTCACTGTCAGAGTCCGTTTCTATCACGCTCAGGCCTGCTTTGACATTGTAGGAGCCTCCCATGAAAGTGAATCAGCCTACACGAAGAATGTTCAGGAGCCCCGTGTGTCCACGTCCACCTGCTGCCTTAAGGCCCGGGACAGCAGCATGGCTGCCAGCATCGGTGCATATCGGTGCATATCGGTGCGCTAATTCAATCTGGGCAGTCGGCCGTTGTGAGGGTCAAGCTCCTCTGCTCCTCCGCTCGGATTCCAGGAACATGGATTCATCAGCTTCATCTCTGGGCCTCAAACGACTGCAGGTCAAATCCCGAGTCCTTGGAGCCTCACCCTCAGTTGACAAACAATTCGGCGTGCTGCCATAATCGACGCCTGCTGCTAAGTCTCTCACATTGAGAGGCCCTTCTTTGTAAAATCAGATCAAACCGTTGCATTGCAAGTTTTCTTAGGCGTCTGAAACAGGCCGCACAAAAGGAAAGGCCTGCTTGGCCCTGACTTTCTTACTACACCAAATGAAACTGAATGACAAATGGCACGTGCTAAACGTAGCAGTCAACATGATGCCCTTTCCTCTTTCCCCAGCATAGACGAGGACTACACCAACTCAGATTCAAAGTTTCATGACCCCCCCCCAACCCCCGCCGCTAGAAGCGATCAGCAAAGAATATACTATACATGCCCAATCCATCGCACTGAATATCCTAAACCTTATATGGACCCATGTAGCCCTGTGCATTCAGATTTGTAGAAGTGCTAGACAGCAGCTGTCGATGCTGCATCCTCCTCCTCCTCTGCATTGACTACAGCATTTCCTACTAAAAAGGCTAAACGACTGAGGTAAACTAGCTTCAAGTCAGAGCAATCAAGCCTCCTATTTTCACAGGCTACGGCCGACAGCGCCACACCGAGGGAAGATACAGGGACATTGATGCCCCGAGTTGTATACATGTGCCAAGGTGTGCTTCGTCTTGACATGTCTCGGCTACAGGCTGCTCTCCTACGTAGATGATGGCGCTGTGGTGTTGAAATCCCTGCCAACAAGCCCGCCCAAATCCCAACACATCCCAACACTCAGGTCTGGCTGATTTACACTTCCCAACATTTCAAATCGCGGAGATGGCAGCAACCCAAACTTGGATGGGCACTCGCCACAACTCTGGAGAGGTCCCACACAATCATGTTTTAAATTAGTCCGAGCTGGACGAATTATAAGGTGGAGTGAAGCATGGACGGGTGGCTGTAGATCCTGAAGGCGTCATGTTCCGAAGCACAACTTCATGAAGCCGCACAGGTGAATTGTGGTTGCACAACCGTGCAGTCCAAAAAACAGTCATGGTACAGCGCAGCTCCTTCGCTGCAGCTCAAGTTGTACAGGCAGAATGGGTATGTCAAAGTAGAAGTCCCCAAGAAGGTTCAAAAAAGGCCAATGTGAAAGTATCAGGATCATTATCACTTATCACCTCCAAAGGGACCCCAAATTTGAGACACCCTGGAATCAGGCAAGTGCCTTCGCCCTACCATCCTCAAGAGTGATGGGGATTGATGACAAAAGAAGAGGCTCCCGATCAAACCGCGGACTGTAGGTACACATCAAGCCTCCAACATGGCTCCGAAATTGGCTGAGCGCACGGTTTCTTGAAACCGTAGAGCCTTGAAATATTACACATCGAGCCAACGGCGTAGCAGGCCTCGCTTCAGCAATCTGAAGCCGCACAGCAGGACGTGCTGCAATGGGATAAGGCTTTTCGCCAGCATGGAAAATTTGCCTACATATCATTCCCAGCTCCTAGCTGCTATCGATAGCTTAGATAGCTAGCCAATCTAGCCCCGGTCGGATGCGCGACCGCCGCGCTTCTCCTGGCCGGACGGCTTGGTGGTTGCCGCCTCTACTGTCTGCATCACTTTGTCCATGCCAGTCTCAAACTTGGTCATGTTCTGCACCATGGAGTCTTGAAGCTCAGCCACCTCACGACTCACAGAGATATAGGGCAAGGTACAGTGTACAACACTATAACAGGAAGCGGAGGAAGCGGTCTTTCTTTGAACCTTGCACCTTCTCCGTCAGGGTGCCAGTTGCTTGCATCTGGGTGTCCTTGCAGGCCAAGGGAACAGAGAAGTAGACAACACGCGGCTGGCCAGAGTACATTGGCTCCAAAGTCCAAAAAAGGCTGTCTTAGGACTGTACAGATTATTGTTGTTTGCTGAGATTGGAACTGAAAAGTCATTTGGGGCCTTATCATTTTCCTTATTCTAGCCCTTCGTTGGACAGTCGCTGGTCCTTGAGCGGCAGCAGCTCAGCGCGCAGGGCCTCACTGACTTGTGCGATGCTTTCCATGGAGGCATCTCGCTGCTGCTGCGACAAAGCCATAGCCAAAGCTGCCAGCTCCTGGCAATGTCTTAAAACAAGACCAGGATGGCTGCAGCAGCCCCCATTTCCTTTGAGGTCATACGCCCTAGATCAGACACTCCAGACCACGAACGACTCTCCTGGCGCATGCTCTCCACGATGTCTGCCTGGTCCTGGCCCTTTTCGGCTGGTGTAGATGCTAGCTCCAAGCGAGCTGCGCTCTCCTTCAGACTTGACCGTTCCTGATTTCATTGCATGCTAACTATACTATATATATACTACAGCTGCATGCTCTTATCAAACGACTTTGCTGGTGCTACCTTTCGCTCCTCCAGACGCGTCACCATGTTAGTGACTGCATCCTTGAAGGAGTGGCCTTTGCTCTCTTCTTCCTCGCCACCGCCAAGGAAGGCCTCCTGGAGTTTCGTCATCTGCTGCATGATGACGTCACGGATCTGCATCTCCATGTTGGCATGGGAATCACGCATGATCTCAGAGCGCGTAAAGCTCTCCAGGTTTTCGGCGCTGGTGCTCATTGATTGCTGGGCGTTGGTGAGTAGGTCCAGAATCATGAGGTTCTGGCGGCGGACGTCCGCCATGCGCTGCTCCTGCGCCGCAGCTGACTTTTCTGTTGCATCCAGCATGGCATTGCCTTGAGTGGCAAGCGTGGCCAGGTCGGAACGCGTGGCCTGCATGACCTTCTCGGAGTTCACACTCTGGGCTTCTGTCAGAGCACCGCTGACCGCATCCACCTTGCGCTCAATGCTGCTCTCCATCTCAACCAGACGCCTCTGTGTGAATTCGTTGCCAGTATCCACCTTCTTTGCCAAGCTGGTTTGAGCCTGTGCCACTGTCTGGAGCACATTGTGGGAGTCATGGGTCTGCTTCAGCAAGTCCTGTTGAGATGCATCCAATTTCTGCAGCAAAGCGGACGACGAGGTGTTCACGGTGTCCAGCAGAGCCTGCTTGGTGCTATCGCTGGCGCCGTCGATGTTTTTCACGAGGCCAGAATAGGAGTTGACCATTTGGTCCACAACTGCCTGTGGAGCGAAACTGAAAACAAGCGGTCGTAGCTGCGCTGCATTCTGACTGTTCTATCTTGCTAAGACCTGGGCTCGAAACACATCCCTTCTCAGTTGTTCTTGCATGGGTAATATACTTACCTTTTGCATGTGGATACTGAGCTGCCTGCCACTGCATACGTACCCAACTGTCCACGCCCTGAACCACTCAGAACAAACGTCTCGTGAGACCTTTGAGGAGCACACGGGTAGACTGCCAGCACATGTTCAAAATAGTCTAGCCAGCATCGCAACAATTATCTGCGGGCATTTCCAGTCTAAACACCGGAGAAATACACGGTTGCCTTCTGCGAGTCCATTTTCTGCATGACGCTCTCCTGGGAAGAGTCGAGCTTTTGCAGCAACACCTGGCGCGCAAAGATGCCAGGAAGGGGATTCCGCCAGCGAGGCTGTGCCCTTCCAACCATACGGTGCATGCCTGTGAAAAACCTACTTCTGTTTGGGACAACCGTTGAAGGTCCCTGCTAGAACGGCATTTCTAGCAGGCTTTGGGAGCTTCTGTGCCCTAATGAGTTGATGGTTATGATGTGAACTTCGGGGTGTGGTGGCCAGGCAAGTAGTTTCAACACGCAAGCCAAGCACTTCACAAAGCAAGGAAAGTGGCAGCACTGTCATGGTTCTTTTCTCGCTCCTCCTCCTTGTCCTACTTACTCATTGCTGCTACTCCTAGTGTGCTGCGGCTGCTACAACGAGTACCAACATGTTTCCCTGTATTGCATGTCAATGCGATCATCATCACTCTCAGAGTCGGGTGGTCAGGATGATGAACAAAATTGGCACAGCTTCCTGCTATGGGATCTATAATCTATCGAGGGCCTGGCAAGCATTGACGGTCTGCAGAAGCGAAATCTGGGAGAAGTCCATGCGTTGGGAGATGGCTTCCTAGCAGTAATTGCTTGCAGTGCGGCAGGCTTGCGTCTTTGGTGGCTCACAGGTTCAGGCTTGTGTAGGCAAGCGCAAGGAACATGTGCATCCTAGCTGTCCCAGTGCTCACGGTACATTGATCTGGAACCTAAACATTGAGTGGCTTAGGACTTAGGAACTACTGCCTTACATTCCTTTGCCACTGGAAAAGCACTGGAAGATGTTGTGCACATCCTGAGGCTACAAACAAGTCAACAAGTCTTGCATCACGCGGCAATGACATGAGGGCTGCGTGAAACGACCCGGCCCCTATTAACAGACTCCTCGGGTGTCAGACGCATGTTTTCGCAATTTTGCTTGCGGGGAGTTGCAGAGGAAGTTGAATTCTCAAAAAATAGCAAGTCTCAATACTTGCATGCTTCCAAACAAGATGGAGCCCTCTGCTGGCAGCATGCATGCCTTCAGACCCGGATTTTTCATTGCTAGGCGAGGGCATGACCAAGCTCGTTGGGGTTCTGGGTCCCGAAATCGATTTCAAGCCAAGCTTCACAAGCTAGACAAGGGGAATTACCCGGCAAAGCAAACATGATCGATGCTCTTATCCAAGCCGGAATGCTCAAGACGAGGACATTGTCTACCTACCGCGCACTACCGGCCAAGCTTCCTGAGTACTCTCGAGCTGGCGTTGCAAGTTGTCCTCTCGCGCAGGGCGAACATGACAGCATCCGTGACGCTATCCAGGGAAACTTGGAGACCCAAGGCTTGGAATGCGGGTACGTCGGGATATTGCTTCTCAGAAAAGTTGAGCCACTCGACATCACTCAACTATGTCTCAGAATTTCAGATACCATTGGGTGAAGTGGCATGCATTTCTGAGTACAGAGGCATCAGCCTGTGACCGCGACTCGAGATCCAAACTCGATAGCTCGCCCAACCAAACCAACAAATGCAATACCCTTGTCAAGGATCGCGCGAGCTTCACAGGGGTCAGCCTTCCGTAAACATTTAGAGATAGCGGATGTTGAAAAGCTCAGACTCCAAAAGAATAGATTTTGGGGCTTTCTCAGCTTCAGTGCCCGAAAGCGGCATCTTACTTCGTAGCTTACTGTGGCAAACCTGAATGCAACGGAGCTGCCTCTCAAACAGGCCGCTCAAACCATGCTCCTACGGCGCAGAAAAATACTTTGAAGCCTGATCTCTCGGAAGGTCCTCCATCGCCTGCATACGTGACATGATCATATCCTGGAGCGGCACCAGCGCTCGATTCATCACCTTTTGCAAGCCGGCGCCCCCCCCCAAGCAGCATCTTCCTATACTTATCACATAAAGCTAACAGGTGAAGAGAGCTTAATATTGCAAACATAATCAGGCCCACATCTCCCCAGGTTGCATTATGTGGCACTGAGCGAATTGGCACCAGAAGTACGGAGCAACGACATTCACTTCTTTAAAGCCTGTCCACCAACACTGATACTGCGCGCACGCTCACAAAGCGGCTAATCTAAACGCATCTAAACGCTAACCTCAGGTTGGGCCCAGTGATACAAGCTTGGTGTACGAACGAACGCGGCCCCGGTCTATCAATAGCCACTTCCTACATGCATGGTGTAATATGAGAAGTCGCTGCAAAGAGCTGGTCTTCCATCGCCCCGATGTCCATCATCATGCCTCGCAGTGCTCATGCATCGCAAGCTGCTGCAAGCAGGCGGCGATTGAGGCAGGGGTTCATAGAAAGTGCGGCGCGCATATGGTTATATGGACCCAGCCCGGCCTCCAGCGAGGGGCGGGGTATTGATGCCGGGAAAGCCAACATTCGGCATGCCTGGCAGGGCCTGAGTTTCGTAAGCTGCGCTCACTCATGCTGGATGCCTTTCATGCAGTTTTCAGAATCGATCTCGTGAGTCTTGTTGATATTCTTCTATACAGTAATTATCATCATTAATCTTGCTGCGTTCGTTCGACACTGCAATTGAAAGTGTTGTTCCTGTTCTTGTTGCTAATATGATGCGGGGCCTAGGGTTGAGGGTCTGCCGATCCTAAAGAAAACCTAGACTTGGATTGGGGCGCGCAGCCGATCGCATCTAGCTACTTCTTCGGAATTTTTGCCAAGCACAATCGCGAGCAGACAGGAATTCATAAGCAACAGAGTCTTCAGAAACAACAACATGAAAAGCAGCCAAAGTCGTACGTTCCAACGATGGTGGTTTCCCTGCCAATGCTACACGTGATCATCTTCAACACAGTCTTGCTTGGAAATTGTCTCATGACAGCCGTTACCAACATTGGGATCATTGTTCTGTCCCATTCTTGCAAATGTGGGGGAGACCAGGGGACTTCTGCAAATAAGCCCAAGCTGCGTTGATGAGGTTCTTGCCCGTCATTCGCTCCTGCTAATGTCTTCTGGCAGTTTCCAGAATTCGTGCCGTGGGTGGACTTGAAAGGGGGTCTTGTCAGGTCCTTGTTCGCATCCAGAAGCTTCTTGAAGGGGTCCTCCTTCTCGATGGATCCACCCTGGTCCTGGCCCAAACAAAAACATTAGCGTGTTGTACTTTTCCATGCTGCATGAGGAGTCCGGGGGATAAGGGTCTCTAAATAACCCCTTGAGCAGGAGCATGGGCAGGCAACTTCACGAATGGGACATGCTGCGGCTTGTGCAGGCTTTCAGATCCCCTTCTGTCAGTCCTGACCCATGTTCATCTTCTCGGCCGTCCAGCGGCGCTGGGTAGCATCAATCCTGGGTAAAAGAGAGCTCCGAAATTGCATTCATAGTAAGTTCCTATCCCAAACACCAAACACCAAAAATTAAAACACGAAACCTTGACTGAACTCAAGCATCCAAAAGCTGCGCAAGTCTTTGACGCACCCCTGAGCTCGACCATACATGCTCTCTCCCGAACACAAGATACAGCCCCGGAGGACGTGAAACCGAGCAAGCCTAGATGACTGCTTGGGGAGCACAGGTCCCCAACTTGAGGCCAGTGGCAGCATTATTGTCAATGCTGATTTGAGAAAGCTTTTTGAAAATTACTCTGGACCTTCTATTCGATTCGCGGGGTCCCAATAAAGTAAAGTTTTTTCAGCCGGAAAAATTCTAGGGAAGGTTTTGATGAGGCCAAATGTTGTTGGTTTTAAATCCTCGCCTTTTCATGACAAGGACAGGCTCTACGTCTCGAATCTGAAATTGATGCCACGAACGACAGTCGGTTTCCTATCAAAGCGCTTACTCGAACAGGCTAGGCAATCAAATTCCAAAGAGGGTAGTTCAGCAGAGCCCCTGATCTTCAGCAATTCAAAAGTTTTGGGGGGCTTAATGATGTAATTGTTTTTGGCCAGGTTAATTGCGAGGCCAATCTAATTTGGTTTTAATTGTATTTAATTTGACTTCTAATCAATTTTAATTGATCAAAAAATCTATGATTTTAATTAGAGTGTATTCGCTTTCATTAGAATTTCAATCCCATGCCTTGTAACACAAAGGCAAAGGACCCTTATTCTCTTGAGAGCTAAACTGGACAAGTCCTCATGAATTCAATAGAAGCCGAAGGATCCCTCTGCCCTTATCATTTAATAGGAGCCATGGGATCCCCCAGACCCCCAATTCGTTGTCAGCACTTTTTTTACTATACAGGCTCCCCTTTTTTTGTTTGGGGGGGACCCAGTAGTCAGGCTCCAACATTAATTAGATGCACCCAATGATCTTCAGTTCTAGCTTTTTGGAGTTGAGCATAGTTAACAAAATGCGTCGTCTCGGAATGGACCCGAAATAGCAAAAATACACGCGACCTATTTGCCTGTTTCCATAACTAGGGGCCCCCCAATATAGACACCAAAACGCTGTGGTTCTTATTACGGGGACCCCACAACAGTACCCCTAATTTCTGGAAACCATAACACCTATAACCCCCCAGATATTCAAAGTTTCCATTTAATTTTCCATTTTCTTTTCCAGTTGATTCTCCATTATATAGGTACCCCCAAGTTTTGGAAACCCTCTACCCCCATATAACCCCAAAATAACCCTATATAAAACCCTATGGTAACCCCCTTTAAAGGTACATCTAATTTGGGGAAACTCCCAAATTTCAAGCTGTCAGGATTCAGCGCCCAGGGGAGGTTCAACTCGAAGCAGCGCTCCGCATTCCTCAAAGCCAATACTAATGCTAATATTGGTAATTAAGGGAATAATAACAGCATTTCTAATAATAACAATAATAGTCATAATAATCGTACTCATAAGAACCATTTCTCAAAGCCAGCCGGTCTCTTTGTTGTATTAGGGGTTAGATGGGGATACTGGAAAGGAAAATGGAAACTACTTTAAAATAACAGGATACGTATTAGGGTTACATACGGGTTATATAGGGGATGTATAGGGGATTATAGGGGTTATATAGGGGTATGTAAAGGTGAAATAGGGATTATATTGGGATTTGATTGGGATAATGGAAAAGAAACTGGAAACTACTATTTATGGAGTCCGAGGCCCGGAGGGCCCTTGGGGCTACTGGCAGGGTGTCATGGTCTGGGTTACTTGGATATTGTTCAGCGTCTGTTGTGCCCATCGTGTTCTGATAGGGGTGATAGGTTATAGGTACGCTATGCTCAACTCCTGGTAGAACTACGTCTCCTGCCCACATCCGGTCCTCGCAAGTTCTTGTTCTGCGGCTCTTTTCAAATTAGGAAAGCTGCATCCTGAAATTCTGTTGGCAAAAGTGACGGCTTCGCTTAGCAGACTGGTGCCACTTGCTACAACTTCTCGGGCTGGTGAAAACCCTGAAGCAGGAATGATTCCTAAACATGAAATTTACTGCAGCGTCCTATAGAGCTTATGCACAGTAGCAAAAGGGGACCATTCGTCTTGACAGAAGCAAAGGCTAGTTTAGCGTAGAGCTTCAGCAAACGCAAGCACACTTCAATCCCCTGACAGCTTCAAGAACTCGTTGGGGCTTTTTTTGCTTCTGGAGTTGTGCAGACGCCAGGATGTTGACAAATTGAGGCTTTGCTCAATCAAAATAACAGAACTGGTGACAGTTAGGTGTAGTACAGACTTGGCCCTGAATACAGTGAGTGTGCTCTCCTGACCCCTCCACCCCACAGCCACAACTGAATCCTGCTAAGCTACCAAGCCTAACGCCAAGCTCGGGCAATCGGGAACCAAAATGCTCCTTCCCCGTCAGGAGCCATTGATCCAGCCATGGGCTGACACGACATATTACTGACTGAAGCCTGAAGCCCAATGAATTCTGATAAGCGTGGGGCATTGCCAGCAAGATTTAGCTTCGTCACAAACACGATGAAAGCATGTGTTTCACACATAAAAACACACATATTCTGTGCGTATAGAAGATAACAAACTGGCAAATGGAAGATAACTAGCCGGCACATTAACGCATGCAGATCGACAGATATATGTGGTGTGTACGTGTGCATAATTACACACCGAAATTGTGTTGTGCATGCCGTGCTGCATGTCATACGATATGATATGTCTCACTTTGGCCAAGCTTCAATCTCTCGAGAACGGCGGTGTTCGTGACACCATTGTCCACCATCAGCCTAGAGCGGCTCATCCCTACTGGGCAGCAAAGCACCAGGGAGCCAATGGGCTTTTATTCAATGGCTAACTTCAGGACTGTAGAATGTAGACTCTCTGACCTCCAGTTCCTCAACTTGAGGTCGAGCATGCAGGGTCCTGAACACTTGGTTTTCGCTCTCTATCAATTATGCAAATTTTCTGGGGCTTGGGCTTCAGTTACTTACACGCCTTGCTGGGGTGTGCTGCGCTGCCATAATTCCTGAACTTTGGAACACTGGCCTCAGCATGCGGTCCGTGTGGCTGCTCATACCCAGGGTCACCTCAGTTGGCTTTGAGATTTGATTCCGTCAATTTCACATTATCCTTACTCGTACCATTACAACAGGAACTGCTACTTACTGATATGACTGCTTGCGCTATAACTACGACTACGGTAACCAAACAAAAACTTACAGATACAATTTTGGTAATTCGCAACTTCTGCAGCCTTGCCTTGAACAACCCGGCGCTTGGACTGCAACCCATCAGGAGCATTCGAAGAATATTATTCGCATTCCGGTCGTTGTGAATTTTGCTGTAATTCGTATTTCTTGCCTTCGCATCGTGATTCGGCAGTACTATGATTCATACCCAATCCGGGCATTTGTCAAAGTCGAAGTTCCTCGTATACTCTCAGCTAGCCAGATCCACAGAAAACAATCTTGTGATGGGCCTCTCCAATCCAATAAGCTCCAATGATCTGCTTTGGATATTCCTGATGAAGCAGCTATATATCAGTATGTACATATACAATGTAGACGCGGATCATCCGTTGGCGCCGCGAAAGTATCTTGAATTCCTCTGAAATTTTTGGTTTGGCGGCATCGGACTATCCGCAATTCTTAGGCCCAGACATTTACGAACATCATTCAAAAGGATTCCAGTCTGTAGCATGTTCTATCAGTGACCATGCCTGAAAGATGTTTAACGAAGCATGGATGCCAGTGCCAACTAAAACTAAACCAAAAAAACAAACGGAACCAACAAGAAAATGAGGCTTACCTAAACCTGCTTAGCGCGTTACATCTTACATCAAACCTAAGAAGCAGGTCTTGAAGAAGCATTCTTTCCCTGGAACATGGCCTATGAAATCAAAATGAAAGACTTGGCTTTTCAAACAGCCACAACTATTTCCTAGCTTCTAATGAATAGCCAGTCAGCTTGTACATAATCTGGACAGGAAGAAACAAGTCTTTCTGGGAGCTCTTTTTCTCTTTGGGTTCAGTTTTGCTGGGCGGCCCCAGTGCTACCCACAAAGCACTAAAACGATTTGGGGGGCAGCGGGAAACCTTGATCCTTTGCATTCCTGAAGACAGGTCTTGTCTCTTAAGACCGACCGTAATTAGGAAATTTCCGGACAGAACACCACCCCGTTCTACTTTGGCCAAACTGTAGCAGCAGCAGCAGCAGCAGCAGCAGCAGCAGCTGTTTTCCAAACCCATCTGGGGATGCATAGCAACCCCTGTAGCCCCATGTAGGAAATTGGTAAGGGAAGACCCGGATTTCATGAAGCTGTATATGAGCCTGCTTACACGATATTGAAACGAAAATCAAAACGATAAGGCTGCTTCAACGAACCTGTGAACTGCTACCCAGCCAAGGACTGAATGCAGGAAGCTAGCGGCAGAACCTTCATACCTAGGCCTCCATAGAAAGCATTCTGGTAGTTTCTAGCAGTGCTCGGTGCTTGGGTCGGATCCATTCATTCAAACGCTGTATAGCGATAAAGACGTGGGAAAGACGATCATGTAGTCCAGGGATAAAGAACTCAACCATAGGGGTCGTTTTGCAACCAGAAAATTATGCGGGCGTTGACCCCACACAGTGTAAGGATCACGAAGAGCTCTCCAAGAGCACTACGAACACCGCGAGCAATCCAGCAGCACACCAGAGCATGGCACGAGCACTCCAGAATTGCTTCAAGAGCAACCCTCCCACAGCGAGTGCTGCGAAATGCGAGGATGCCCTGAGGCAGCAGAAAGGCGTGTTCGTGTGTGTGTGCTTCTTCTTCTTCTTCCTCTTCTCTTTTTCTTCTTCTCACTGCTCTACCCTTTTACTGGGGAGGGGCCGGGGCATAGCCCCTTCTCCTTCTCGGACAACCTTTGAGATCCCATTTCAGCTCTGTGGCCATGGTTTCAGCCACAAGCTCTGCCAGCTTCAGCTCACTTTCGGCCTCCTCTCCTCTTAGGGGAAAGGAACAGTAATACCGTGTGAGCCTACAAGCAGCACTCATACATGCGAAAGCGATGGTGATGATACGTAAAAACGGACGAATCCCGTAGCAATGACAGCGAGCAACAAAGACACAGGTCATGACAAGAATGAGCTGGCTTCACAAAGAACAGCCCAAGGACATGTCCAAAACTGCCCCCATGATCATGCCCCTAAATGGTTCCCTGCAGAAATGGCCCCAGGATAACGGTTCTGTAGACCCTTGTTGCCTTACTAAAGGGTTCCGGGTGGCACTTTGGGGGTGCAACCCTAAAATACCTTGAGCACATGCCCTGACAACAAAGCCACGTACCAGAAGCAGTGCTCACTCCAGCCGGAAGCCAAACCTTGAACGGCTACACCCAAAGAAGCCTGATATGTTGCAAGAAAGGAGTGGACTGAGAACTCATTCATCCTACAAGGGCAACGTGAACTTTTCATACCCCGGTCCTTGGCCAAGGCCATAGTTCTCCGCTTTAACGCCGCCAGCTCCGCCTAGTTTGCTGTTGAAGGATGTAAGGGTTGAAAGTTGACGGACTGCGGGGTCTCCGAGAGAAGTTTTAAGCTTCATTCTCTGCAACACTGTGTGTATGGGAATGTGTTTTTTTCTCTCCAGCTATGGCTCTGCAACTGTATTACGCATTTGCCGAACAGCCGCAAAAATAATGGTGAGCCTCAAACGGTGACAATGCACGAGAATCTTAGACGTTGACCCCCGCCCTCCTTCACACCTATATGGCTGGTGCGCGGTGCTACGGAGATGCTGTTGACGTCCGCTCTCACTGGCTACCGGATCATGCTATTTTCGGGGAGCGAGTATTCAGATTTGCTGCGCAAATGATTTCCTAGTCTATGATGTTCCATGGAATGGAGACCGTACTATCGGAAACCATCCTGCAAGGAAGCCTTTTGCAACAGGCTTGCATGCGTCGACGCCTGGAAGTGCTCGAAAGCCTAAATCCTTTAACCCTTAACCCATCTGGGTGTGTTTTTTTTTCTGTGCCAGAGCCGGGCCTGTAGCGGTAGCGAGCGCCCTCTTCTTGAGGTCCTCCTCGTTAGATTCATCCGAGGGCGACAAGCCGTAGAGCTCGCGCGTAGATTCGATCTTTCGCTGGTGCACCATCTTCATACGCTGCAGCCAGATAATGAACACAAACCTGGGCTCTACCAACTCAAGTTCCATGTTGATCAACACTTTTAACGGAGAACGCACAAAAGCTTACCTAGCAATGCCCCGGGAACTTTGACACGATGTTCAGGACCACCCAGCCCATCTCAATGATGAAGCCATCGGTGACCACACCAAAGCCCTCCACGCTCAAGCTGAACCACAGTGGGAAGGGAAACCACGTGACCTTGCTCTCAAAAGCATATTGCTTTAGAACACCTGCTTCAACTGCATCAAAAGCCGGCAAGACGGAGAGGACATGTAGATCTTAGGATACCAAGGGGCGATCAAGCAAATGGAGAGCTTGCGGAAGTCAGAGTCGCCTGAGAAGAGCGACTCCTCACCCTCACTGTTCTCCTGGTGGCAACCAGCGGAATGCTAGGAGAGGAACCCTTATACCCAGGGTGGGACACTCCTTGATCTGGATGGCGTTGTGCCAGAACATGATTGATGCCAAACACAGACCGAAGCCATACCACGCAAATCGCAAGGCATCGCCCGTGAACATCGATGCTGTGCCACACAGAAGAACCTCGCATCTTCAGAGGCAAGGATTTTTGTGCGAAGTTCACATAATTTGAACCAAGCCCAGACACGCAAAAGTTGGGGAAGTGATGTATGCAGTCTGCTTCTAGAAAAATCACGAACAAGAGAAATTCCAAACAACAACACACCAAAACACTAACACTTCTGACCCCATAACTTGGGGGCCCAGAGACATGGCGTCAGGATCTGTTATTTTCTCTGTTGTTGTTGCTGCTGCTGCTGCTGCTGGTGTTGTTGTTGCTGTTGTTGTTGTTGCTGCTGCTGTTGTTGTTGTTGTTTCAGGCCATGTTGTTGTTTTCGTTGTTTTTTCCTTCGTTGTTGTTGTTGTTGTTGTTGTTGTTTCTTTGGACCTTCTTCCATGCGTTGTATCTGGAATATTTGTAACGGGGCCAGAGACATTGAGTCGAGTTTTTTTGGGAGGGGGGGGGGGGGCTGGAGGTGTCATTTTTGTTGTTTCGCGGCTTCCCTTCCACATGCCGTGTAACTCCAACCCTGCATAGATACATATGTACACATATACATATGTACATACATACACACATATATATATATGTGGTCACCCC